TTTTGCAGTGGTTTCCTGAATAAGTCCAGTGGTATTTTACATTGTACTCTGAAAACTAAAGGTAATATTACAAAAAATCTGAGGAAGAGGCAAGTCCTCGAAATGCGTCAGCCTATTGGATGTCTACACTCAGTATTGCGGACTGTGTTGACTAAGCTGTTCTTTTATGACGTGCCTTGACTTTATTGTCGTTTGTGAGTACAACACCTACTTATTAAACATTTTTTATGGTAATGCACTAGGCCTGTGCTCCCTCTGTTTGTTCTTTCCTCACTTTAATTCAATATAGTATTTTGGAACGGAATCCTTTTTGTTGTCACTGCAAAATTTTGAGAATCAGCGAGTGTTATCACACTTAATTGTTTCTTTATTCTGTCTGTTAAACACAAAGTACATTGCTTTGCTCTACTGCTCATTCATGGAGATGTAGTGGAAAAGAACAGATTGGTAAAAACTGCAGATTACAAAAACACATCTCCCAAGAGAGCTCTGCCAGTTTTCTAATTGATCCATCTCATACAAATGAGCAGTAAACATTCCACTAAGGGGTGATTACTTCTGTCTCAAATTTGTCTCTTTCTACTAAGATCCCATATAGATTTTATTTCCTTAAAATTAAATATGGAAATAGGATATACTAAGAGCTATAAGATATAAATTGGTTTTTGTTTCTAGAGTACTGGAAAGAATACCCTTGCTCATATTAAGAGATAACAGGCATATACATGTGCTGACATGCCAAAGGGCAGAGAGATGGCATTCAATGTAATTATTATAAATGGGAGTTCTTCCCTCATTATGCTTAGGAGGAGGAGTGCATCTCACCAGCAGAGAAAACAATGGCGCTGACCTCGGCCATGTTCCTTTATCTCCATTTTCTCTACATAGTGAAATCCTTGAGAAACTGGTGTGAAAAGAAAATTAATTAAGTTGTATCCAAATACATTTTGTGGCCCATTACATATAATATCTTCATTAGTGATAACAAACATCTGGAAGGGACGGGTTGGGCTTTTTCCCGTGACCCTGGGATTTGAGTACTGACAAGTAAACAAAGTGATTAATTTAATAGATACTGCACCGGAATTGACAAATTCAGCCACTGCATTTCAGTTTAAAAAAAAAAAAGCAAAAAACACAAATTTATTAATATAACATAACAACTTCACAGAGCTGAAGGAACTATAAGCATGTAAATGTAACTTCACACACAAAAAGTATAAATTTTGATACATTCTAAATTAAAGGATGCCCAGATGTAAGCACTGCCTCTACCCTACCTAAATACTGCTAGTTCAGTAAATAGTGCAAAGACACAAAAAAGTGACGTGTAGAATTCAGCATGACCTGGCAACTTATCTGTATACAATCTGCTAAAATCAAACCACCATGATATGATAAACTCTTAAGCTGGCCATGGATGGGTCAGTTTTTTTGTTCAGCCAGCAGGCTGAATGATAAAACTGACTCAATCCCCCCCATCCACACATTTGAGGTGGATGGGGAATAATCCCTGCTATGTCTTAGTATTCTGACACCAGAGAGACTTCCCCGTCATCAGAATACACTGATCAGTGCTGCAGTCTATAGCCGGCAGTGCTGATCAAGTTTTTTTTTTTTTTTCTTCCAACATGGTGGTTGAACAGTAGTTGATTGGTAGACTGACCTCTGTTCAATCACAGTGGCCTTACATGGATTGGAATTCGCCTGGTTTCTTCCTACCCAGCTGAATTTCAATCTGTTTATGGCCAGCTTTACTGGTTACTCTGGGTACTGTGCTTTATTTCTTGTAGACTTCAGGGTTTTGAAGTTTTAATGGATTTCTACGTTTTGATGAGGTGTATAACCAACTTTTTTTTTCTAGTTTCGGATAGAGTGGTGGAGGGTTGGAACACCTGTAAGGTTTTTTATTGTTATTTTTGTTACCAGCTGGTAGATTGAACCTCTGTATTTGTTTTGGTGATTGCTGTCAGTAGGACAAAAAGTGGTTTTAAAGGCTCAAGTTTTTTTACCTTCGTGCATTCTATGCATGAAGGTAAAGAACCTTCTGTGTGCAGCAGTGCCCACAGCCCCCTCAATACTTACTTGAGTCTCATCGCGATCCAGTGATGTGAACAACAGCCTCGGCTATCCCAGGTCTCAGCCTCCTCATTGGCTGAGACAGCAAGCGGGAGCCATTGGTAGTTAATGAGAAGAGAAGGGGGGCAGGGCCAAGCCGTGGTTCTGTGTATGGACACACGGAGCAGTGGGTGCCCCCCATAGCAAGCTGCTTGCTGTGGGGGCACCCGACAGGAGGGAGGGGCCAGGAGAGCTTGCGGGGACCCAAGAAGAGGAGGATCAAGGCTGCTCTGTGCAAAGTCACTGCACATAGCAGGTAAGTATAGACATGTTTGCTATTTTATAAAAAAAAAAAGACCCTTTAGAATTGCTTTAAGGGAAATCCAAAATTTAACAGTTGTCATTAGACTAGAAATCTTCTAATAGGGACATCATTCTGGTGACAACTGTCTAGGGGTGGATTTCTTCTCTCTTTGGGGAGTTTTTCTCTCACTTTCTGCTATATCTCTGGAGCAGGAAGTGAAGGGAAATATGCCCAAAAATAAACTGAAAGGGGTTTTAACCATTTACTAATTTATCCAAAACTAAAGCTATACATACAATAAATTTCTTTTTTTTTTCATCATTACACATACAACAATATAATCTATCTTTTATAAAAGCAATCTACTTTTCACTTTATATTTCCTATAAAAGATTATAATGGCAAAGATGGTACCAGACTGAAGTGTGCAATGCCCACAGCACTTTAACACAAATGCACAGTGAACTACTTACCAAGCAGCATTATAATGGCTATAATTGGTTAAGTGAAACATGTCATGAGAGGAACATAGAGGCTGCCATTTCTCACTTTTCCTCCTGAAAATGCTAGTTATCTGGCTATCATACAGCTTCACACATCACCCTTATTTCTGTACTAAAGGTTTTTGAGTTTTCATGCTACTGGTCTGCATACTTTTCAAGGTCAGTGGCAGAGAAAGTATATGTGTAGATGCCAATAGGTAAGCATTAAAGCAATTCAACTAGCATTTTTAGAAAGGAGTCAGAAGGAGGTCCTAGGACACATATTTACTTTAAGGAAAATAAAATACGATTTGTACTATTTTGCTTTAGAAAAACACATTGTATGGGAGAGTACAGGATGAGAACCGCCAAGGGATCCTGAGGCTATTTTTGTGATTACTGATTATGTACAACCATTGATAGCAGAACATAGTGAATAGTGGTGAGTGTATCACTATGATGTACCAACCCTCCTGCAAATTTTCAAAGATGGAGCTTTGAAAAAGTATGTCATGGTAGTCAGCTAACAAAAGCCAAAATTATCAAGAAACAGGCAGCAGTGGTATATATCATGAACATAACACTATATCTATATGCATAAAGAACAAACCTTCCATAAACATTAGAGGATTATATAAGAGCCATAATTCAAAAAGAAATATAAAGCTCAGAGAAATGCTGATATTATTTCAAAATATAGGGAATACATGAAATAAGCTTCTAACATAAGTGTCAGAGGTTAATGCAGTGGGGAGTTATAATATACTTTGAATATGGCTATACTAAAGATAAAATAATGTTCAGGATCAAAGGAAGCAGAATACTTCATAGCAAATGCAGAAATGAGCAGAGTTACATATTTTATATTTATATTTAGAGCATTCTGTGCAGTATTCTGCAAACTGCAACCTCCTTCCTACATGTCCCATGGAATGTCTCAACAGGCAGGGGGCAGGACACAAGCTGTCTTGGCAGGTGGCACGCAAAGTGCACTGCCAGTTATTTCCTATACCAGGGCCATGTATTCCCAATCTTTTCATCAACTATGCCTGGATTTAAAAATGTTTGAAAGAAAAAAAAACAAAACATGTTTTGTCCACAACAATCAAACTGATTTTCCTGATTGTGTTTCTAATTAGTTGCTAAGGGCAACACACACAAACACACAAAAGCCCCATATATATCAGTGCTCAGCATAAATGAGTACACCCCAACAGATTTGTCTGAAAACCTTTCCTTTTCTTTCAAAATCAACATTTTTTATGGGACACTAAGGGGTTTATTTACTAAAGCTGGAGAGTCCAAAATCAGACTCCCTTCTGCATATAAACCAATCAGCTTCTAACCTCAGCTTGTTCAATGAAGCTTTGGCAATGAAACCTGGAAGCTGATTGGTTTCTATGCAGAAGGGAGTCTGATTTTGGACTCTCCAGCTTTAGTAAATAAACCCCTATGCTACAAATTACACCCACAAATGTGGGCCATTGATTGCAAACAAGATTTTTTAATTTGCACACTCAAAAACTTTTCCTAACAAATTCATTTAAGACCATGTTGCAAAAATGAATACACCCCAATGAAAGTCTTAGGAGCAAAAGCTAAATTTTAGACAACAAAATCCTAATTAACAAGAATTCAACTACAGGTGAGTCTAATTATTCATTAAACAGGTGTCCAGCAAACAGTTGATTATAAAAGGGCGTTACTTAAAGAAAATCTCTTCCCATTTCATGCTGTCAGCAATGGTAACACATGCTAGAGAAATGTCACATTGTCTGAGAAAGAAAATAATTTCTTTACACAAGAAAGGTGAAGGCTACAAGAAGATCAGCAAAGCTTTACTTATCAGTCAGAATACTGTAGCAAAAGTGATACAAACATTTAACAAAGATGCAACTACAAACATCTCACAGAGACATCCAGGCCGTCCACGGAAGTTAACAACTCGACAGGAGCGTCTTCTGATGAGAAGGGTTGAATAAAATTGCCATGCAAGTTCACTGCAGTTAGCAGAGGTATAAAGCCAAACTGGGGTGATTGTTTCCCATGACACAATATGGCGTACACTGCAGAGGAATGGTATGCATGGGTGTCATCCATGAAAGAAGCCTCTCCTAAAGCCCATGCACAAAAACGCCCACCTAGAATTTGCCAGGGCCCAAAAGAAAAAGAAGACTACTGGAGCTCTGTACTGATGAGTGATGATACCAAGATACGTGTTTTTGGAACTGATGGCATCAAAACTGTATGGTGTTGCAAAGGTGAGGAGTACAAAGAAAAATGCATGGTGCCTACAGTGAAATATGGTGGTGGCAGTGCCCTTCTTTAGTGATGCTGGTGTCGGGGAACTGCATTTCATATCATGAATTTGCAGATGTACTGCTCTATATTGAGAGAGAAGATGCTACCATCACTCCGTTCCCTTGGTCGTCGTACACTTTTCCAACATGACAATAATCCTAAACACACATCTAAGGCCACTGTTGCATTTCTGAAGAACAGGGTGACAGTGATTCAGTGGCCAAGTATGTCTCCTGATCTGAACTCAATCGAACACCTATGGGGAATTCTGAAGAGACAAGTTGAGCATCATTCTCCATCCAGCATCCAGGCTCTAAAAGAGGTCGTTCTTGAAGAATGGAAAAAGATAGATGCTGCAATATGTCGCCAACTTGTGCATTCCATGCCTAGATGACTTGGTGCTGGACTTACAAATCATGGAGGTTTATACAAAATACTAAGTGTAGAAGTTTTTATTGTGGGGTGTATTTATTTTTGCAACAACTAATTTGAGTAAAACTGAAGATTTTGTAATCTAACCTATATTATTAACCTTACATTCATGTAATGAGCTAAACAAATGTTCTATAAAACTCAGTTTTGTCAAAATTTTGGAAATTGTTCTTGTGTGCATTGCGATATTGATTAAAATCTTACTTTTCAAAAGGGGTGTACTCATTTATGCTGAGCACTGTGTGTGTATGTGTATATATATATATATATATATATTTTTTTTTTTTTTAAGAAATCTTTCATGGTTACATTTAGCTCATTCATTAACTAATCTCATATAATTTGTTGCTCAGTCTATTCTATTTTGTTTTTCATGAAACTGGAATTTTTAAAACTAGATTATTAAAAAATTCAATCAATGTATACCCTTATCCTTTTTAAACCCTCAAAAAGTCAATACTTTCTCCCTAGAAAGTGCAATAATACATATACAACCTTTTTGTGAATTACAAAAATAAATAAAATAAATAAATCTTTGTTGCACATTATATGTTTAAAATCAATTTATTTATTTATTTTATTTATTTTTGTAATTCACAAAAAGGTTGTGTATGTAGATTATTAAAAAAGTCAGTTCCGACTCTCAAGACAGACATCTAGATAGACGTGCACTACAAAGAGAATCTAAATGGCTTTGGGAGCTTGATGCAACTAGCCATCCTGAGATTAACAATATTTTGACTTTTAGTGTGTTTTTGTGATAAATTGCAAAGAATAGAAAGGATAAAAATAATGATAGACTGAAGTGCCCCTAAAAAAACTGTAGTTCCTGGAGTTTGGTTAAGGGGGTCTCAGGTTTGGCATAAAACGGATAACTATTATATTTATTTTGTTGTTTTCGTTATTAGGCCTAATAAGCATTCCAAAAGGTCAAATAGCATGGGAAAGATAAAGCAACAAGAAAAATGGAAATGCATCCTATGCAACACAGGTGTCTCTAAGGCTTGGTTTACATGTGGCAGAGGGGTGGTAAAAACAGGAGGATGATCTGCATTTTATTGTGCTCCAACTGACCATGGCAAATTTAGCTTAGCATGTTGAGTTTGGCAGGCAGCACCACCTGTCTAACTCACCCACTGAAGTTAATAGAACTGAACTGCATATTGCACAGTAGTTAAATGCAAAATCCCCTTTCGCCTGTAACATAAAACATGCATTCAGGAGACTGTAGTATTGTATTCTAAATGCCTGGAAGTGACTGCTCAGTAAAGCGATCCATCACCTAGCGTATAGTCTGATACATTTGTTAAAGTAGAAAAAAACACTGTGAAATTGCAAGTTAAAAATACTGTTTGCATACTTGCAAATGTGTGTCGTATGGCTTTTCAATATGTTTCCTAGCTGCAGTGGAGGCATAGCAGCATGACTCTATACTCTCTATGATCTCAAGTTCTGCTAGCTGCACAGCCCAGAGGTCATAAGCTTGTAAACAGGTGCAGTTAGCTAATCAGCCACCAGGTGGCTCTTTCCCAAAATAGTATGGTAACAGGAAAAGTTTCATGCAAATGATAGGTTACTTTTTAGAGCATTTCTTCCTGTAGTGATGTCATGGGTGAGTCAAGCCAATATATAATCCAGCTTTGGAGAAGCCTTAGTGCATATGGGGCATGAAAGCCAAGTACACCATGCTTATGCAGATGTAGTCAGAATAGCCAAGGTCCTTTTCAGGGCAGAAGGCCCAGGAGAGGTGTAGAGTTCAGTAGGAGCAAATGCAGCAATCCTGTCTCTGGAACAACTAAAGGAGAGTAGTGAACTAGATGCCTAAAGCCTAATGGCCAAGCCAAAGCCCGCCGAGTGAGTAACAATGTCTATGGGATCAGGAGAGTAACTGCAGGGAACATACCCGGCTGGGTAGAGCTATGGAGTGGGACTTGAAGGGAGAGATGGTCTGAGGGAATATGGCTGCTAAAGTGCTCCATATGTTTTCACATTTGACTGCTTCGGATCATCCACTAAATGTGACTGACAACATACTGTCAATTGCCTCCGGATTTTATGTCAATGTGATGTGACTGTGTTATACCATTTTCCAAGCACCTCCAGTAAAGTGAAGCAACCTTATTTATTTGTGGACATTCCTTCTTTTGGGGATATAAAAGTCAACATCCAGAAATGCAATGAGGAGTCCCCTGGCATGCAGTGGGGCACAATATGGCAGATGGAGGGATAGTGTACTATAAAAGACAGGAATGGGGCAAGGACATATGCTTTGCTGCCAACATCCAGCTAATTACAGAGCCCCTCTTACAGGCCTTCCATACCTCCCTGATAGTATATCATCATGCTTCTATATTAGAATAAGAAGCAGAGCCTGTGTTTTCCCTTCCTATTTGATTGACAGCTGCACTTTAATAAAACAAGTAATGAGTTGCTGATAAAAGAGCAAGAAAGAGGGAGAATCAAGTTGGGGATCAAACGTCTCTATTGCATGCTCAGTTCTTGTTTCTACTGAGAACTTTCTGTACAAGAACAATTACATCACTTACTTCAGACACCTGTACCACCTTCATTACCACTAATGCTGATAATACTAGAACAAAAAATCAACAAAAATATATTTTAGCTTACTAGTACTTCGTTGTGGTGGCTAGATTGCAAACAAAGAACATTTTTTTTGCAAGTACACAAAATATCTGTCGATCTGGCCAGAAATGCAGAATCTCCTCTCAGCTTATTTTCTCACCTATCTTTTTTGCTGACAAAAAAAATATGCATTTCCTATGCTTTTTATTTAGAGTCTGTAAAGCATTGCACCTGCAAACAGCAGATTGTGGGTGCATGCAAGGACACCAGCAGATTTTTCAGTGTATCTTTCTGGTTGTATCTTGTACTGGCAAGCAGATGCACAATGACAAAAAGAAAGCATGAACTACCACGGTGCTCAACAGTGCCGTGGTAGTTCACTGAGAACTACAAGCCGACACCTGCAAAGGCTGTCAGGACTTGTAGTTTTCCCATTCACAGAACACTGTGAATGGGCGATGCGGCCAGGCAGGCGAAGCCCCACATTGGAGCTTTTTTTTTTCAGAATGTGACAGCTAGCCTCGAAGAAGATCCTCTACTAGCTGTAACAATGGGGGATCAGGGGGGTGCGGGGGCTGGTTTAATTGTAACATGTTCTATGCTCTCCCGGTTCTGGACAAAGGTCCTTAAACTCCTATATTCATTATTAGCCTGTCCCTTCCCAAGAGACCCATGGCATGTCCTTCTGCACCTGAAACACCCGGTCCTCACCAAATACCAATTTAAACTGGCTACTTATGTACTACTGGCAGCAAAACAAACCATAGCGAAAGCTTGGAAGCAACAGTTCATACCTTTTACAGAAGTTCACTGCCACCTAGATTTCTATCTTATTAATGAAAAGCTCTCCAACATTTTTTTGGATACCCATGGGAAAGTTCTTAAAATATGGACTCCTGGATCCAACATGCCCATCTTTCTATATCAGCAAGCAGTTTTTACATTGCTATAATTACAGAGACCCTACAACCCGGGTTCAAGCACTCTTGACATTGTCTCTTCGACTCCTTCTCACACTCTTTTACTTTCACTATTGGCTCTCCCGCAGGGACAATTTAAGATTTGTTCTTATGTATTCCTTGGTTTGATTATATGCTTCGTGAATTTTATACACTGATATTTCTCTCAAAACGCATAATCCCATTCTACAGGTGAAACTCAAAAAATTTGAATATCGTGCAAAAGTAAATTTATTTCAGTAATGCAACTTAAAAGGTGAAACTAATATAAGAGATAGACTCATTACATGCAAAGCAAGATAGTTCAAGCCGTGATTTGTCATAATTGTGTCCCACTCTAATCAGCTAATTAAGCCATAACACCTGCAAAGGGTTCCTGAGCCTTTAAATGGTCTCTCAGTCTGGCTCAGTAGGAATCACAATCATGGGAAAGACTGCTGACCTGACAGTTGTGCAGAAAACCATCATTGACACCCTCCATAAGGAGGGAAAGCCTCAAAAGGTATATTTGCAAAAGAAGTTGGATGTTCTCAAAGTGCTGTATCAAAGCACATTAATAGAAAGTTATGTGGAAGGGAAAAGTGTGGAAGAAAAAGGTGCACAAGCAGCAGGGCTGACCGCAGCCTGGAGAGGATTATCAGGAAAAGGCCATTCAAAAGTGTTGGGGACTTTCACAAGGAGCGGACTGAGGCTGGAGTCAGTGCATCAAGAGCCCCCACACACTGACGGATCCTGGACATGGGCTTCAAATGTCGTATTCCTCTTGTCAAGCCGCTCCTGAGCAACAAACAACGTCAGATGCGTCTTACCTGGGCTAAAGAAAAACAGACCTGGTCTGTTGCTCAGTGGTTCAAAGTCCTCTTTTCTGATGAGAGCAACTTTTGCATCTCATTTGGAAACCAAGGACCCAGAGTATGGAGGAAGAATGGAGAGGCACACACTGCAAGATGCTTGAAGTCCAGTGTGAAGTTTCCACAGTCTGTGTTGATTTCGGGAGCCATGTCATTTGTTGGTGTTGGTCCACTGTGCTTCATTAATTCCAGGGTCAACGCAGCCATCTACCAGGAGATTTTGGAGCACTTCATGCTTCCTTCCGCAGATGAGCTTTATGGGGATGCTGACTTCATTTTCCAGCAGGATTTGGCACCTGCCCACACTGCCAAAAGCACCAAAACTTGGTTCAATGACCGTGGGATTACTGTGCTTGATTGGCCAGCAA